CTGGTGAGCACCGTGTCCGCTCCCCATATGGCTGTCTGTGTCTTTCCCTCGCACGCTTTTGTCCTCTCCCTCTCCCACTTGTACTGTGCCTGCTCCCGCATGGACTGTGCCTGCTTCCGATGGCTTGTGATGCCCTTCCCTTGCATGCCCTTACCCTCCGCCAGTCTCCCCGAGCACTGTGCCCGCTCCTGATGGCTTTCGGTGGTGCGCGTGGGGTGGGGGGAGGCGGGTAGGCTGGGTGGGGGGAGGCGGGTTGGCTGGCTTGGCCACTGGGGGCAAGAGGCCATGCACGGGGGCTATAGCCCTGTACATGGGTGCCACAGCAGGCAATGATTGGAGAGGCAAATTGCCCGAGGCTACCCAGTCATTGCGGATCCCGGAAATGGAGATCCTACCGTCATCCATTTTGAAAAGTGGTGGATATTCATGAAATTTACGGTTTCGGAAGAGGCCAACACCGAATTCATGAAGCCGTTCCTTCTTTTGGCAGCAACTCGGAGATCAAATGTCAGCGTTGGACCCTTTACCTGCAGCGATTAATCGCGCAGTGCATCCCACTGAGAGAGAGTGTGTTCAATTGCCAGTGTGCGAGCAATCCATGCAGTGGCAGAAGCGATCGATCATCGATGCCACACTTGGATCAATCGACTGTGAGGATTCGATCGTTTGGTAGCAGCGATGGATCATCCATGCCATGCCACACAGAGAATGCGACTGCGAGTGTTCATTTGTTTTAGTAGGAGCCCTCCTCCTTGCCCTCCTCCTCGTCCTGCTGTTCTCGCCCCCCGCTCGACAGTGCTCCCTCCTCGGCCTCTGCTTTCTTGCGATTCCGAGGTAATCGATCATCCATTCCACTCAACTGTGAGCGTTAAAAGTGTTTGGTCACAGCAAGTGAGTATCCCAATGCTTCCAGAACTGGACTGTCCAATTGTGCCAATGTAAAACTTTTGAAATTGTGAATACGATTTGTGTTGATGGTCTTGGGAGGGTAGAGCCTGCGAGCAATTGATTGAGCAAATGATGTTTGAGGGCCTCAGAGAATGTCAGGTAAACAGGATTAGCAGATGTTTCGTGTTTAGTACTCTTTGTTGCGAGTTTCCCCCGTTTAGATTTTGTTTGAATCTTTACTGTGGGTCATGTTCGGTTTTTCCGGGATTGCGCGCAAGAAGCGCAATTTTTTAGCCGAAAATGTTTCGCGGCAGCAGTGTGTGAAGTTTTAATGTTGTAACCGATGAAAGAGACGGAGGGAAAGTGGGGCATTCTGGTGCGCTCTGCCTGCATGGAATCTCTGGCTGGCCTCGCACGAGAGGAYGACGGTCTGACATGTCAGAGCTCGGTACTTAGTGTGGATGCAACTTGTCAGGACTCGGATTGTAGTGGTGGCGTTGTTGGCACAGATAGCCTATTAGGCTAGTACTAGCCGATTAGTATATTCCACTGTGGCAGTGTGGATCTTGTCTCTTATACACATCTAGATGTGTATAAGAGACAGGGATTGTAGTGGTGGCGTTGTTGGCACAGATAGCCTATTAGGAATCTCTGGCTGGCCTCGCACGAGAGGACGACGGTCTGACATGTCAGAGCTCGGTACTTAGTGTGGATGCAACTTGTCAGGACTCGGATTGTAGTGGTGGCGTTGTTGGCACAGATAGCCTATTAGGCTAGTACTAGCCGATTAGTATATTCCACTGTGGCAGTGTGGATCTCTCTTGTTTTCTTATCATCTTTATTGGTTGGCTTGGAGATGAACCGCCGCTGCACAGTTGCCAAAGTGTAATGGGTTTGAACAGGTGTGGGGACTCGTTGCACCACCCGCCGACATTTTAAATGCATCTGGACAAATGTGAGTCCCGATGCATCGAAATCTTGGCCAGATGGCAAGTGGTGCAATTAGGCCCTCAAGACTGAGTGAGAGACCTTAGCAGTAATTGTTCAAATATATATATATATGAGTCGGTGAAACTCCGACGAAACAGTTTGTCACAGCCCCTCGTTTGTTGTCCTCTTCTCTCTCTCTGCCTACGGTTTTACCGGGCAGTTCTGTTTGTGACGATATATATATATATACAACAGATGGCACACAGGGAGGAAGGTGTGTTTGTGTTTGTGTGGATTGTTCATGTGCGCTGACAGTGTAGCGGAGTTGCTTTTTTTTCCCGTCTTCTTTCTTTTTTTTTTCTGCGCACAGCTCCATCATGTGCGTTGAAACCGTAGCGGAGGGTCTTTCCGCCTTTTCTCTGTTTTCTATTTCACCGCACAGTTTAATTTTTCTATGCATTCACTTTGCGTCCATCATGTGCGTTGAAACCGCAGAGGAGGGTCTGTCATATTTGCGGTGGCATTTCAGAATTTCCTCTTTTTTTCCTGTTGGGGTTATGGGGGCTTGGGTTCATTAGCGGGGGTTGTGTCATCTGGCAGAGAGTCCACTTACACAGAATGTTACCTGGACTCGTACAATGAACCTGGACTTGTAGAATGAACCTGGACTCGTAGAATGGACCTGGATTCTGACAAATGGTCAGTGTTTGCGGAGGCTCTTGCTGATATGACAAGACCGCGTTAAGGTTTTCAAGATCAAGATGAAGATGAAGATGATGATGATGATGATGATGATGATGATGAACAAAAAGGTTGAGATGCACTGCATCTGTGGTTTGCGCAGTCTGCGTGGCTGAACAGCGCAACTGGAAGTAAGCGAGTGTTCATAGACGAGGTGGTGGGAGTTTGTGAACTTAAAAATCCTACGGATGGACTCAGGGGGTACTCACACTAGCTGTATCTCAAACGTATCCGACCGCATTTATGGCCAGACTAGGATGCATCTGACCACAAGTACGTCCATAAATAAGTAAAAAAAAGTCCCAGTGTGAGTATGATCTCAGATGGATATATGTATATATATATATATATCATATTTGTCACAGCCCCTCGTTTGTTGTCCTCTTCTCTCTCTCTGCCTACGGTTTACCGGGCAGTTCTATTTGTGACGATATATATATACAGCTCTGTTTGACTATATATACCACGACTTCGCTAGGACCCTGCTACGGTATTCTCCGGTCAGGTTGACCGGCAGTGGTCGGGGCCGTCACTACGCGGCCATGCTGTGCCTCTAGTGCCAGCGGCGTGTCTGGAGTGTATTTTTTGGCTGTGACATATCTTTCTTTGTTTCGTGGGTGTTTTGCTTGCTTGTGATGGGGTGTGAACAGAGTCTGTAGAGTTTTCCATCTGGTGTGGGTGAGTGATAGTCTGCTTTGACTTTTGCCACAGGTACCTTGAGGGCAGTGGTTGGTGCCCACCTCAGGGTATCAGTTGTCGGGCAGTCGTTGATGCTTAACCACAGCCGGGGTTAAGGTGGATTATCACTTACAGTGTAATCAGTTAGGGGATTCTTCAGCCTCCTGATGAGTCGGTGAAACTCTGACGAAACAGTTTGCCACAGCCCCTCGTTTGTTGTCCTCTTCTCTCTCTCTCTCTGTCTAAGGTTTACCGGGCAGCTCTGCTTGACAATATATATATAACGATATTTTGCGTTACACCCTCTCAAATAATTTGTGCGAGGGCTTTTTTGATAAAAGGTGATTCAGCTGGCTCAATCGCTTTGATAGGCTCTTTAATTGGCCAATTGTGTTTAGTTTTGCTTATACTTTCACCATTGGGAGTAGT